GGAAGGAAGGAAGGAAGGAAGGAAGGAAGGAAGGAAGGAAGGAAGGAAGGAATTACTTTGGCCATAATAGTAAAATTGTTTTTAATTGTACATATCAGTACCCCAAGGAGAAATAAGGTTGCTTTTTTTTTTTTTTTTACCAACTCAGAGTTTATCCTGTAAAATAACCCATCTACTTTCCTGAATTTTCTTTTTAAGCGGAATAAAGATAATAAGAGACTCTGAAACCCCAACTCCCACCCCATTCTTCTTCACAGCCAAGCAACTTGAATGCATGCACATAACACAAATAAATGAAGAAGTTCTCATCTCTCAAGTTCACAGGTATAATTGAATTCAATAAATAAGTCTCTATTTGGAAATTCTACAGAAAAAAGTTAATAGTTTAGTCTCTCTTTTTTTCCAATATAGTTTTCTGTTCTTGCTCTCTCTCTGGAAGTTCTACAGGACTTTCACTGTATTCCTCCTCTTGTTCTTCTTCAGTGCCTTCATCAGTTAGATCCCTGCTTGTAGTTTCCTTCTTAGATGTCTCTGCTTCATCTGACCCTCCCTCGGTGTCAGCAGTGCAAATCCCGTAGCACATGATGCTGATGACACCCAGTGGTAAACCAAAGAGAAAGCAACCAAGAAGTGGGGAACTCTTGAAAACAGACTGTTGAGAAATAATTGGCCATCAGTTATATTTTCTTAATGTTCTGAATAACCTGGGGAACATGTTTCCCACCACTTCCACAAACTTATATATTAACACATTTTGAGAAGAATCAGGGTATGGAGAACATCATTGAGTGTCACACAGAAACTTTAATGAAAGAAGTGGGAAGACTATTGCGCAGTCTTTTTTTGCTAGTATCCTTACACTCTTTTTCTTCCTGCCTCATGACTCACCCTTTGAGCAACAACAGGCAAAGTAGGTCTAGCAACATTGCTAGAAATAATGCCTGGTAGCTTAAGGAATATGCACATGAATGTTCTAAGAAATGTTGGAGGGAAAGCTTGAGTGCTGCTCCCCATTTTTTTCCTTTTTTATACTTTGCCTCATCTACCTTTGGAACTCTTTGTAAAAGTATTATACTTTAAATAGATTCATTTAATTTTTGTTACAGGAATTTGCAAGGTGGTCCTTTAAGGGTGCAAACATTACTCTTTTGGACCTAAAATTCTGTTAGATCTTATTCCATATGTGGAGGATGGCCTAGACTTACATTACTTAATATTTTAAACCCTACAGTAGAATACAATGTACATATGGAAAACTGTGTTGAGATCTACATAGTATTGGTCTTATGTCAGCTGGTGTTGTTGGAGAGCAACTGGCATGGCCATAAAAAAAAAAAAAAAGCTCAGATGTATGTATATGTGCAGGATGAGAACAGTGGGAAAGGAACTGCTTGCAAATTCCTGTAACAAAAATTAAATGATCTACATAGTATTGGTCTTATGTCAGCTGGTGTTGTTGGAGAGCAACGGGGATGGCCATAAAAAAAAAAAAAAAGCTCAGATGTATGTATATGTGCAGGATGAGAACAGTGGGAAAGGAACTGTGCAATCTGAAAGAATATAAGCAAATGCCCTCCCTTGTCCAGAATATCTAGCAGCACTCAGTAGAACAATTTCCAGCAGTACATCATCCAACTGAACACATTTTACAGGTAACAGGAATGCCAGTCACAGAAGGAAAACAAAATTGTAATAGTTAGATGTTATGTACTCTGTGGGGATGAAAAGACAAGAGAAGACTGATTTGGGTAAAAGTCTCCACACTCTACCTGTCAACTATTCAGATGTACTATGACAGATTCAGACACTATCCCATTACTACCAATGACACATTTTATATGTCAACAGGTTCGTTTCAAAAATAAGAAGTATTGTAACCAAGACAAATCCAACAAATTTAATAATATGATCATATGAAACCTTTCCGGATTCATTTCTGTGGTTAGCAAGAGGTACATCTATTTTAACTTGATGGATACAAATACTATATAATACTTTACGTACTCCCACTGTAGACTTGGCATCATAAATTATTCTCTTGATTCGTTGAAGAATTCCATCTCCACCATATGCCTGAAATTTGAAAGATAAAAGGTTAAAGCAGCATCAGCATCATGTATTTCTATTTTAGTTTTCAATTACTTTATTATACAATGCCATCTTACCCATACTTCCTTACAGAAATATTGTTTCACTGAAGGAGAAATTATCTTTTGTAAAGTACCGAATTCTACCTTATTCCTGCACTGAGCAACACAGATGGACTTAATACAGCCTCTTCCAAGTGTATGATTCTATTATCCCACAATATTTACTATATCTTGAACGTTGTGATATGCAGATATATTTGTTATTTTCTCTAATTAACTTTTTTTTTTTTGCCTAAAGGAGATGCATTACCTTGCCTAAAAGAACTCACCTGCCCCCCCCCCACCAAGTGCTGTTATTTTAAAAAGTAGTAGTAAAGTCATTACAATTGTGTATCTAAGTGGGTTTCCCATGTGTTTTTCTTGGAGAACTTCTGCTCATTGTTTTCACTCCTTCTAGCTCTCCCATCACCTCAGTCTTATTTCTCTCCAACACTACCAAGATCTTTCCATGATTCAGTGTATTATAATCAACTACGCTATAGACACATTCCAAATAATGAGGTTAGCGACACTCCAAGATTCTGCATTTTCAGGTAAACACATTTAAAGATACCTTAAAGCAAGACAATAGAAATGAAGTAAGATAACTAACGAACTGCTCTAATATTTTTGAAACGCTGCTGAGATTTTGAGTAAATGTGAAATATTTACTTCTGCTGTGCCTTCCAAAATGTCATTAATGAACTGGACCAGATCTTCAGTGCTCTCTATTGGTTTATGAGGTAGGAAATATTGTTGATTGGATGTATTCAGGACAACAAGAGTGGGGATTTTCAAATCACTGAAATGATAAAACCAAAAAATTCAGAAACTGAAAAATAATTAGTTCATTAATAAAACCCTTGAAGAATGATCACACTCTTAGCAGTATAAATAGGAAGATTAGGTTTTTTTTAAAATCATATTACTACCTACTGAATCTTTATGGAATTACTCTATCCTTCCTTCCATCCATCCATCCATCCATCCATCCATCCATCCATCCATCCATCCATCGGGAGAATATTCTGAAGGGTGGGGGCAATGGCAGAGAAGGCTCTCCTCCTAGACCCCACCAACCGATATTCTCTTGCTGACGGGGTCTACAACATGCCCTCTCTGCCTGACTGGGTGGGACAGGTTGATGTGATGGGGGTGCCACAGTCCCTCAGATAACCTGGATCCATTCCATGTAGGGCCTTAAAGGTGATAACCAACACCTTGAACTGGACCTGGAAGCAAACTGGTACCCAATGCTGCTCCCGCAGCAAAGGTATTATATGCGCCACCCTAAGGACACCCAAGATTTTCCACAGGGCCGCATTTTGAACCAGCTGTAGCTTCCAGATTCTCTTCAATGGTAGCCCCATGTAGAGCACATTGCAACAGTCTAACTGAGGGATAACCAGGGCATGAGAGACTGACCGGAGAGCCTCCTGATCCAGGAAGGGGCGTAACTGGGGCATCACATGAAGGTGGGCAAAGGCCCTCCTGGCCATGATGGCCATCTGCTCCTCAAGCAGGAGTCATGAGTCCAGGAGGATCCCCAGATTATGCACCAGGTCTGTCTGGGGCAGTGCAACCCCATCCAAAACCAAAGATGGTAAATTTCTGGATAGAGCGGGACCTCCAATCCACAGCCACTCTGTCTTACTAGGGTTCAGCTGAAGCCTGTTGCACCCCAGCACTTGGGACTGATATGTTGGTTTAACTTATTTCTTACATAACTATAATAGTTATGGCTAATTAATCATCCATTCCAAAGACTAAAGTATTCTTCACAGTTCTGTCTAGTGTTCCATTCTACTCAGCATCCACATTAGTCTGTTAGGACAAATAAATAATCATGCATTAATTATACTACAAACTGATGATACTGCTATCTTGCAGTCTTAATATTTACCTAATGAATGACACTGATGAGAAATTAAAGGTATTATAACTGAATCCAGAGAACACTAAAGCAGTGATCAAAAAGGTATGGGATATAATATAAGACAAAAGCAGCAGTATTGATAAGGTTTCTGTAATCTCCCTTTCGCAAGCTTTCATTACAATTTATTACTAATTTTTAAGTCAAGGAGAGGTATGCATGTCTTGTGCTCCAGCACACACACACACAAACTAAACTTGGTGGCCTTCTGAAGGACATACATGATCTGAAATTACCATTGGTTAGGCACAATGCATAATCCTTAAATTTTATAATACAAATAAATGCCAAATCCTTTTCAGCTCCTGAAAATTAGTTACCTAATGCTGCCATCTAGTGGAAGGAAATTTAAATACATTTTTTTAATGTTTTTGTTGTCTTTGTTTAAAGAGTTTCATTGAAAGACACAATCAATTTTATTCTCCATCTGAAAACTTAACAAAAAACTTCCAGAAGAAATTGACAACAATTTTGACACAGTCAATTTACATGTCCATTTTCCAGATACAAAAAGATTTAAAGTGACTATTTTCCCAGGGAAAGCACATGAAAAATCCATTTTCATTAATGTAGTGATCATACAGGATACTTTACCTTACAGTAAATAAAATTGAAAAACAATTTTTCAAAGGCATGTATAGCATTTTTGTAAGCTGGCAAACCAGTTTGCAATGCATAAAATAATTTTTGAACCAATAAAGAATTATTCTATAGATATGCTATTAAACAGCACCATGCAATCTTAAGAAATGGTTTTACTCACTCCATTAATAAACTATTAATGTATTCATTTCCATCCATATGGCCAAATTGGAAGTTTCTGTTAAAAAACAATTCACAGTATTATCCACTAGACTGATCTTAAAATAAATAATGATCTTATTAAAAAAAAATAAAATAAAAAAATATGACATCAATGAATCAATTTACTGAAAGGAAAATCTGAAGGAAGAAAAGGAAGGAGGTTAAATTTTTAGAATAGCAGGAGCAGATGAAGAAAATTGATTATCCAAGATTACCTCCTCAAAATACACTATCACAGTCGCTGGTAATAAGAGAACTTGGTTGAGGAAAAAAGCAACTAAGGATTTGGAGGTGAGATAGCTGCAAATGTAATATTTCATCCCTCCACCTGTATGCAACTTTTGTTCTAAAATCTGCTTTACAACACGCACCTGGGACAGTCTTGAAAGCAGATCAGCTGCCCCTAAGTTCCAGAAATCAACTAGGGTAGGTGAAGTTACTGCATACCTCTAAGCCCTTGCTCATTTGTCTCATAATTAATTATGAAGTCAGAATGAGACAATCTTACAATAAAATTCATAGGTAACAGCAACATAGAGCTCTGTTATGTTCTGCATTTAGATCTCTCTGAACTACCAAACTATTCTCAAAAAAGCAGTGCAGGAGAAACCTTTAGTATTGTACTAAGTATCTGACAGTCAGACCTCAAAATTGAAACAAGTAAAAAGGATTTTACTGCTCATGATCTATGATGATTTATATGGCCACCCATATCAGATAAGCAACTCTGGGTGGCTAACACAATAAAAGCATCAATGCAGTAAAGGATGCAACAGACAAAACCAAAACAGAAATGGCCACCAAGGACAAACCAATTAACAACAAATACATTCCCCTCATGATTCTTACACCTGAGAGAAAACATGTCTTAAGAGCTTCACAAAAGGCCAGTAAGGTTGGAGTAATCTAATGTTGGGAGGAATGGTGTTCCAAAGGGCAGATGCTACTGCAGAAAAGGTGTGCTTCCTGGGTCCTGCCAGATGACACACTTTAATTGATAGGACCTGGAGTATGCCCCTACTTCCAGAACTGATGGGACAGGTAAAGACAATTGGAGGGAGACAGTCCCTCAAATAACCTGGCCCCATGTCATGAAGGACTTTGGAGATATCGATCAGCATCTTGAATTGCACCCAAAAATTTACCGAAAGCCATGGCAGATCATGAATCAAAGGTATAATATGGGCACACTGATCTAACAGTATAACATGGGCATACTGATCTCCTGATTATTGTAATTACCACCCATATGAAAATACAGAAAAAATACATCAAATTAAATCAATCTGTAAAACAAATAGCTTTTTTCTACTGTTTTGATTACTAATTTCTATAGCTCTTTATAGGGTCTTAGCAGATAGCAGTACCTAGTTTCAAGAAAATAATTAAGTTACTACAGCTCCTTACTACATGTGGGCAGAACATGGGAAAATGTTTTGTTTCAAACCCTTAAACAAACCATCACATCCCAGGTCAGCCCCCCTCTTTCTCCTCTGCAGCTTCCACTGCAGTATATCCCACTGCTCCACCATTTTCCTAATGTCTTCTGTTCCCTTCCTCCTCTCAGTTGCTGCTGTATAAGCCCCAACTTGTCATATCCCACTGGCCCACCCATTTCCCACCCTCCCAGTGCCCTTCCTCTCCTCAGCCACCAATAAAACCAAAATATAATACAGCCACTGATCTACCTACCTCCTGCTTTTACCAGGATGCTCTCTCCCTCCCCTTGACTAGCACCACTAGTCAACATGGCATATCCCAATGACAGATGAAGTAACTATATTATAACAGGGTTTGGCATGTTGAGCTGATTTGTAGTTATCTGCTGCTGCTGTTTTATGCACTTCATTTTTTTTAACTTGATTGTTTAACAGACTATTTTACATTTTTTCATGTTGTATATTAGTAGCTGTTAACTGCCTTGGGCTATATTGTAAACATTATATAGAAAAGCAAAATATATTTTGAAATATGTACATAATTTTAAAATGCAGAAAACCGCATATGGTTTATACAGCAATGTAATCCCTATTTATCTATATTAAACTCCATTATATCCAATGGGCATTTATTTTCTAACATTAGGATTCTCAAACAAAAAATATGTTACCTATTAGTGGTCACAGATTTCTGAGTAGCACAATAAAATCTACCAGAATTGCCTATGTTATGCACATAACAGAAGATGCAGAGCTAGAATATAAAAATAATAAATTGTAGCATAATTACCTATGAAAATGGTCTCTGTAATTTTTAGCCACTTCCTGAACAATAGACTTCAATCTGTAAGAGAGAAAAAATCACAGGATTTCCACATCTCTTAAGCACTAAGTCACAATGGTCAAAGTACAAAGGAAACAAAGAATACAAGCATGAAGCCAGTTAATGAGAGATGGGCATGACATCTGAATTCCTCTGCAAACTCTTTTTTGTGTCAAATCTTTTTTTTACTCTACTTTAATTTTAAATTAGGAAAAAAAAAAACCTCCACTGTTGTAGAATATTAGGAAATCTGTGCCAAAGAAATCTGTACATCATTTTTTTAATTAGAATTGCCTATTCAAAAATGGATATATTACACGTCTTGAATCCAATCCTTAATTAACATCCTCTTACATCCCCCGATACTGAGTTCCAAGATATATTTACATAGAGGTTTCAAGTGGCTGGGGTGGTAGTGGTAATATTACAACTAGTAATAATTTTGTAAGAAATACACAATTCATGCAGAGTATATTCATGCAGAGTTAAGCAGCGGTATTTGGTTTTGCAGCCATAAATACAGAGAGTTAAGTAAGTATGGCAATTCTCAAGAAGTTACTTGCCAATGAGACAGATTCCTAGAATACCTTTTGACTGAACTTGCTTAATAGCTGGGGTGGTAGTCCATGCAATACTAGAAATTGTTCCTTATAAAATTTTTAAACTTTTTTGGGGGGGAAAAAATCATCCCCTTGGCCAATTGTTCAATAATTTGGTTGGTCAGCACAGATTACCATTAAACATACTTCTGTGGCTCTGGTATAAAAAACAAAGGAACATGAAGCCTGCTTTGTTCTGCTTTATTCTACTGGAACACAGCCTACTTTGATTATTCCAGCATACAATTTCAAATAGGATTGAACCAACAGTAACCCCATTGCTCTGATTTATGTAGTATTTTCTCAGAATTGGATTGAATCCAATCCTCCTCAATCCAGGAATTCAAATTAAAGTATCCCAGTAAAAGGCTATTAGCCACTATCTGAACAAAAGCTCACTACCTCTCTGGGTATCAGGTTATACTTTCAAACTGCTTTTGTGGTTAGAAAGTCTTTTCTTGTAATATTTAATCAGAAACTGCCTTCCTGTAAATGTAAAACTATTATTCTTTGATCTGGAATGATAGAGAACATTATTGGATCTTTCTTCTGGGTGGCATCTTTTCAAGTATTTGAAGGGTGCTATCATTATCCCCTCCCCAGGCTTTTCTTCTAAACACTAAATATTTCTTCTTCCTTCAACCTCTCTTCATAGGACTTCATTTTTCATTTATCTTCTTTCTTCTTCTTTAAACCTGTTCCAATTTATCTGTATAATTCTTAAAAGGCAGCGTTCAGAATTTGACACAGTACTCAAGATGAGATCTGGTTAACACAGAGTAAAGTGAAAAGTTCAGATACATAAATTTTAAAATAACAAATAAAAAAAAATAAAAATAAAACTGGCAATAGAAGCACTTAGTCTCTCTGAAGTCTTTTTCTTCTAAAGATTTTAAAAAAACTGAGCTGACTTTACTTTTTAATTCATAAATTGTTTTAACATATTTTAATATATATATTAAAGGTGGGTCTATTGGTTTTTCTGACAGCTTTATTTTGTTATTTGTTCCCTTATTGTTATTTATATTTTTAAAGTATTCTTATTATGATAGTTAAATTATGGATATTATACATAAAGTCACTATTTAAAAAAAGTTCAAATACATCCATTTTAAAATAACAAATCATGTTTTAACACAAAACATAATCCCTGGACCTACCTTCCATGTTCTGCAGAAACATCTTTATCATCAATAACTGCAATTGCCACAAGTTTTCCTAAAATAAAGTAAGATACATAATGCATATTTGTTTTGATTTATATTCTACTTTTATGTTCTAAATTAGCATTCAAGGCAGCCAATAAAATTTAAAAACAAAAACAAAATATAAAAGTTTAAAACACAGAGTAAAATTAACAATAAAATAAATACAAAGGTCATTTAATTTAATAACAGATTTTCTAAAAACTTAGAGAATATGCGGGGGGGCAAATACACCTTCTGAAAGAATATGTTCCATACTTTGGGAAAAGTGTAGAAGAAGCCCTTCTCCCATGTACCATCTGACAGTGGAGGCATCTTCAAAGAAACCTCTCTTTTAGATTTATCAAACAGGTGGTAATGGGAAATATTTAATACAGGTAGTCCTTGTTTAACATCCGCTCATTCAGTGACTGTATAAAATTATGACAGTGTTGAACAAGGGGTACTTACGATAGGTCCTCACAGTTGTGGCTGTTGCAGTGTCCCCCACAGTCATATGATCGCAATTTGGGTGCTCGGCAACCAGTTTACAATTATGATGTTGCAGTGTCCTGTGGTCACATGATCACTATTTGCGACCTTCACTGCCAGCTTCTAACAAGCAAAGTCAATGGGAAAAGCTGGCAGGAGATCGCAAATGGTGATTACGTGATCATGGGAAGCTGTGACCGTGCAGTATTTGCCGAACAACGGCAACTAGGACTGCCGGAACTGCCGTCGTAAGTTGGCAGAGTCACATGACATTGCGCCTTATGACTGCGTCACTTAGCAACAGAGTTCCCAGTCCCAATTACCACTGGTAAGCAAAGATCATCTGTAAACCCACATAGAGAGAGATTTCTTAGATTATTTAATCTTAATTCCTCAAAAGATACCACATAATTGAAATATATAGACAGAATAAATAGAGGACTCCCCCTCTTTCTTTCCCTCTAATCACCCACACTTTTACATCACTTTAAAAGTGCCTTTCCCCAAGTACACACTGAGGAGGCGGACAACCAAATATATTCAAGCAGCAGTGAATTGCAATCAAATCCCAGATCTTCACAGCAACACTGGTATTTTCTCTCTTCCTACCTCATCAACAGCAGTCAAATTTGGAATTGCTCCCACAATATGCCAATCACTATTTAAATGCCTGCTGCTTCACTCCAAATCCACAGTCTTCCAATGACTCTACTCTTACTAAGCCCAGGTGCTGTACTGGTCCACACAGGAAATAGTAAAAGCAAGACAACACTAAATCACATTGCCTAACATGGAATTTTGAATATTCCACAGCACAGAATATTCAAAACAGTGTCATGGTGTTTTCTTTCATACTCAGAACAAAACATTCAAACACATGTGCTTTGTTCCATGCACAGAACAGTTGAAATGCCTGTTTCAAGCTCAAAACAGCTCACATCCTATGGGAAAGGAGTCTCAAGTCAAGTTGTTTTGGATACTAAGAAAAAGTCTAGGTATTTAGCATCACAATCCAAAGTAAAATACATACTTAAAACACATTTATTTACACAGTTCTTTCTGGCACAGCAAACAAGAATAAAGAATTATTTTAAATTGAGGTTGACATTATAAAGATATATATGATAAGATGTGAAGGGCAATCATCTTACCTGTGTCTCCAAGCTCATAGAGTGTAAATCCATCTATATTAAGGTACCCCTGAAATCTTTCCCTATTTATCCAGGCTGTCAAATCACCATCTTCATACTCTTTATGGAAAAAAAGGGAGAAAGTGAGGGAAAATGAAAATATGTACTTAATCAAGAGTTATCTCCTAAGTTCAACAATATATATTAGGCGTACATAAAGACCATATGCAACAACTCAAAGCTTTAATTGTGCCCCAACAATGCCTCCCAGAAAACAGAAACTTGCGAGATTTCAGAACTGCCATTAATAATTTAGGAGTCAAGTATGTTAAGCCAATATTGTGAACATAGCCTGCATACCAGCCCTTTATTCCAAGGGGACAGCAGCCCCCTCAGACCAGACTATCAACACACATTCCTATAAGGAAGAGATGCACTTGGTCACATACAGAGTAAGATATCCTAGCTCTTTTCCTCTGCTAGAAATACAGAAGAGTTGTTTTTAAAACAAAGGAGAGAACTAGCGAAAAGTTAGTGGAAAGAGACTGGGTAAGGAACAGGGCTTCCACCTCCCCAACAGACTCTAATAAATAGCTGCAAAACACCAAGAATCTAGAGGAGGTCCAACTAATGGAAAAAGAGAGATTTTATCCCAAGAAGATTCTTTTTCCCCAGAAATAGGTGACATATCTAACCAAGAATTGATGTCAAGATTTTAATTTCTGTTATCAAGCTGGGCTAAGTCTCTTGCCTTTTATTCTTGTATGATTTATGAAATTGAATGTACAACTTCACCCTTCATTTTTCAGACTAGGTTCAAATATGGCATTTTTTCTTTGGAGTCTATTTATGATTTCTAATAATAATATGAAATATCTCAGGTATCTTTATGGAGATTCTGAGAGCTTTTCATCTGTAGCAGACCTGAGCCATCTTGTAGTCTCTTCAGAGCATTATATTTGGAGATTTTCTATTTATTGAGTCTCACAGGTTCAGGTAATGTACAACTGTTACAAATAAACAAATTAATACATAGGAAAGCAGCTGTTGCTTTCTACCACACTGAGTGTTTGCATTTTAATATTTAAAGTTTTAATTTTTTTCAATGTACATATACATATATATGTAATTAGATTTTGTACATTCTTTGTGAGATTGGTTTATTTTCCTAAGTGGGAAGGAAAGGCTAAATCCTGTAGCTGCCACTTCTCTATTCTATCCTACAAGAGAACCTACAAAGATGCCAGAAACAACCCTCAGTGGTAGCGCAGAGGCATTCAAGAGAGAGCAAGAAGAGGACTAGAGCCTATTTAAGATCTAAGAAGAGGTGGATAGCTCTCCTGCAGATATTTAAGAAAAATGATCAGGATCACTGAAAATAAAAGGAGAAATGGAGAAGGTGGGCAGTTGTACCTGTTTCTTCTTTCATTGTTCCTGGCCCTTCTCTTTTATTCTCCACATGAGACAAGAAAAGAGAATGCAGATTCATACAGAACTCTGTGTACAATCACTCTGCAGAACTGTGCATCAGAATCAAACTTCTGTTGTAAGTTATAGAGTATGCTTATAATTCAGTGTTATATTCTGATTCCAGGTTGTTCTAAGAGAGAATATATCAGCCCTGCAGTGCTCTCCACTGTTAATGTAGATAGTACTAAATTATTCTGGATGATAGAAATCAAAAATGACTCTGAAGAGCTCAGAAGGATCACTTTAAAGAGAATGGTCAACCAATTGTCAAACGCAATTCAATTAAGCAAGGTTAAACTGATGCACATTTAGGCAAAAAAAAAAAAAAACCAGTAACAAAGTAACAAGGCACAAACAAGCTAAGTGAAAGTGTTAATCACAAAAATGCAAGTCAGCCACCAGGAGTGTATTTGATGGTTGAGAATTTTTAGCAATGAGTGCTGGGAGCCAAGATTTTTTTAAATAACAGCTAGGGAAAAAATAACAAATTTAAGATAAATTCAATAATTTATTGTTTAAGTAAGGCTTCTATTGTATATGGAACAATGATTTCATTTCATCTACCCCTTAATAGAATATTTCAATGTATACTGACCAAATCAATTAATAAAGGTAATTTAACCAGGGTATAATGATGATAGAAATTAATAATGTTGATGATTAACTGTAATTATACTCTAGCCAACCAAATGGAAGAGTCAATTTGCATGTGTCAATAAAGAGGGTTTGTAACCCCACTCCTCTCCAGGCTTGGTCCAGTACCATAATTGTCAATAAATCAATTTATACTTCAATGTAACTGTATCCTGGTTTTCAGTTTAAACATAGCCCAGGTAGACTTATTGGAGGCCAAAAATTTAAAGCAAGAAGTTTTTAGAACAAAGAAAGTTTGTTGTGTCAATTAACAAAGGAGTTTTTTGGCCAGAAACAGACACAAACATTAAAAAAAAAAAAAAACCAAAGTGGTTAACATACACCAAAGCAGACAATTCAAGATTTTGTTTTACCTCCCAGGATAGCATACATCCCTAGGATTTCCTGATGTCTTCTATTCAAGCACTAACCACATCTGACTTGCTTAGGTCAGCAGCATGCTGAAACCTAGACAACTTTATTAGTAATTCTCAGATAATCTGCAAATAATCTAACCTGACACTGCACTGCTTTTGAATATGTAAATATGAAAAGACAATGTACTCCCAAATAAAATGTTCCTTTTCTAGAAAAAGAAAAAGAAATAACTATGGATACAAACATTAAGGTCCATAAACATAACCTATCTATGATAAGAGCATATGATTGAACTTACCATCATACACAAAGTAAGTTCCATCTTTAAAGACTAGAACAGCTGGCATTTCAGGGAGTGTCACATACTGAAAGAATCAATTGAGAAAAAAGCAGAAGAGTTTGATGACAAATTGCCTTTATACATTTAGATTCTATGATTTTCTATAAGTAGACAGTATTTATTGATTTTTAACTTCACTTCCCAGTTATTAATAGTGTAAGAAAGAAAACTGGCAATAGAAGCACTTAGTCTCTCTGGAGTCTTTCTCTTGTCAGCTAAAGGGTTTTTTTAAAACCTTGAACTTTTAATTTTTAATTCATAAATTGCTTTTATTTATATAAATAAATAAATAAATAAATGGTGGGTCTACTGGTTTTTATGACAGCTTTATTTTGCTATTTGTTCCCTTATTGTTATTCATATTTTAGAGTATAGTTATGATAATTAAATTATGGATGTTATATACATAAAGTCACTATTTTAAAAAATAAAGCAATTAATGATAAAAATTATGTTATTGCCTATGTCCCTTCCTTCTTTCTTTCTTGGATCATAGAAAAACTAAGCTGATTTCATAACAAATAAAAAACAAAAACAAAAAAAGAAAATATAAAAATAAAACTTTATTCACAGATGTACCATGAAGGAAGCAACCCAGATGTGCCTTTTAAAAAGACAGTTTAATTCATAAATATTTTGTTTACATTTTCCCACTACTATATTAAGCAAAGAACCTAGTTTATGTGTTACATAAATATTAAAAAAGATGCTTAAATATCATACAGAGTAAACAAGTTTAATAAGATACTCTTAACAGATCTAGAGAAATTCCAAGGAAAGGTGCATTTGGATCTTTTATAGAATTTGGAAACTTGCATCTTCATTCTTTTTTTCTTCCAGTTTTTTAGTTTCAAACTCTGAAGATAACAAAGAGCTCCAGAACCCAATGCAGAATGATCTCTCGAGCAATGAAGAGCTAAGATGATCCCCTGAGTCAGAATCAGGTTTCAAAACTTCTCCTCATATAATAAAGCCTCAGGGTATACTAAAGTCACTATAAATACTTTTAACAGAAACAATTCAGTTTTGCTTTCAAATAAATGAAAACAATAAATGTTCTTTGCCTGCTTATATTAATGGGAAGCCAGCGAAAGCAATGGTCATCTTTGTGACAGGATGTACCTTTTAATTTGCCACATCAATATATAAATAGAGAAAATGCATTTAAAACAAAATGAAGTTATAAGGCAGTATCATGTCTTTATATAACCTGTAATAACAAGTATATGTGAAGGGCGCTATAATTTCAACTTGTAATAATAATAATAAAAGAATTATTAATAAAAGAATACAATTCTGTCCTTACTAAAGCCATGACTAAAGGCAAAGTACAAAAGACCTGCATTCACATAAATTAACAACTGAAAACAGATTTTTCTGTAATTCAGCTCTGGATGCAGGGAAAGCATAAAAGGCAGGAAACATTCAGAGATATTTAAGGAAGGTTATCAAATGTTAGTTTGGGGAGGTAGTAATCAACATCAATTGTTTTTCTGGCTCAATTTAAGTTGTTCTTCACCTTTAAAATCATGAACTTGCTGAAAGCCTGGCTCAGCAGTGACTTTTCTCATGAGTCTATCTAGTTAGTAAAATCTCCAGGAAGGCCCCTTGAGGATATTCATTTTCACAGAGAGCTATTTCTCCAATTCATATGGAAGGTCATTTGCCTACATTGCTTCCAAACTGAGGAAACCTCTCTTTCAAGAATTAAGATTAGTCTGCTGCTTTCTCGGCTTTCTAAAAAAGAACTGGCAACATTTGTTTAATTTGGCATTTTAAATTTTGAGTAGTGGCTTTCTCACGGAAAGTTCTGTTTTTCTGTATTTTACTGTTTTGTGAAATATCTATCATCCATCCATCTGATAAAATAAGGCTACTAATTTAAAGCTCAACTGACCTTGGAGGCAATGTTGGTTGGACTATTCAATTACACTCAATCATAAATGCAATTAATATTCAGTTGCCAGTTAGTAACAAGGATATCACTCCCAATACTTTCATAACAACCCAATATGCAAAGACAAAGCTCCTCATTCTTTACTGTTCTAAGAAAAAGAGAGACCTAAGTTTTAAATGTATAATTAACTGTCTAATTATATTTTCATTTACCTAGCTTGGATTCATAGATTGTGCTAAACTTGAATGTGATTTGTTTCATTTTGACTAAGAGCAATCTATAAACCAAACACTGTGGCTTAGTTTTCCATAACCATCATCACTACAGCTTGTAGAACAAACCAATGTAAAAAATAAAGTATGATTTAACAATATGTGAACTCAACAGCCAGTAAGGAAATCTGAGGTTCTATCATGAAGCATAGTTGGACAATAAATGGCTCTTTGAGTTCATGGTGGGAGGCTTAAACACTTATTCTACCTAGCATTCATGAAAAATATTGTCAATGGTAATAGATAAGAGGTATTTCTCAACATAAGTAAATATTCAGTCAAGTACATAATTATCATTGTTATTATTTTACCTCGGGAAGTATCTCTTCTGAGGCAGAAAAAAAGTATGTATAAACAATTAGTTCGGAAGCAACTTCTATGTATCTTTCCTGTGGAAATACAAATAGGTAGTTTTAACACGTTTCTCAGTCTTCATAAGCTTCTTTGGTAACAGAGCAAGACACTATTTTAGTACTAATTCACACCTCAAGTTTACTAATGCAGGTCTTTTGCCTCTCTACTGAGTCTAGCAAATGTCTCTGTGTTGTTCCTTGAAATTAAACTACAGAGTTATTTGCAGGCAAGCACAGATAGAGTGATACAACTTTTATATCTCTACTCCCTTCTTTTGCTTAATCAAATGGAACATCCTTTTTCTGTCCACCTTTCTGGCATGTTTAGTAAAAACAATCTTCTGTTAATTCTTCTATCTTGTATTACTGACATTTATTGCATCTCAGTATAGCAATAATATAATCAGATATCCCCATTACCCCATTTCAATATTATCATAACTATTGCATGAAACCACAGCATTTTTTCTTGCATTTTCAGTGTAGATTGTGTATTACAATCTGCCAGCCCATTTTGATTTTTCCAAGTAATTAACTCTATAGTAGCCTTTTTCTAAAGGTGAAAAAAAAAATGTGGAATCCTGAATGTGGCTGTTCACATATCATACCAGTTTCATGAATTATATCCAGTTCTTTAAATGGAATATAGTCCCTTTGATGTTGCTGATTTAAGTAAATGTATATCAGTTTGCAAAGTTCTGTAATAACAGAACTTTATTAGGAGGTATCCATTAAAACTCCTAAACTGCAACTATAATGAACAAAACAAATATTTGTGGTTAGTGAAGTTTCACACCTTTAATGGAGATTCCCCACCAATGTACAGAAAAAATATGCGATGTCTTTTTTGAACATGCTCAAACATTTGCTGGCTAGGGAGATATCGAATAATAGGCCTGCAGATAAAAAATAGGGAAAACAACAAAAGATCAACATCAGCAGGAAAAGGAAATGATCTGCTTCTTAAATGCTATTCCTAGAGAAATTTCACATCTCAGAGGATAAGGACCCTCAATAGTCCCACTTGGAAGAACATAATTATCCTAAAACTGATAAGGCCTTACATTTTAAAAATGTATTATTATTTAAAGCTGGATGAATGATTTCTATGACATCTAAAATGCATACATATATGATCAGGGGAGTGGGGGGCAGAGAAACACAGTGCTAACTTCATATATTGGCACTTAAAAGATTTTGTTTGTATTTACATTTAAAAGCAAAATATTTCCATTATCAAAGGACAATGCTCAGTAGTTATGAGTACTTATCAGTACACTCTATGAAAACTATCGGTATAATTCTGTGGTCACAGAAGCAAAAGACTTGCTTTGAAAATAAAATCTTAACAGAACTCATTGCAATTCAGTATCTAGAAGTTATTAGCAAATATGTCATCATCCTATCCTATTTTTACCAGTCAGCAACTATCTTTTACAATTGCATCATTACTAGAGGCAATATCGAAACATTTGAAGATTTAGTAATGTAATTTCATCAGATACTATTTCCTACCAGAATACCTTTTTAAAGAAAAAGGTGAAGGCTTCTAAAGTTTGCTTTCAATTGATATATGTTAAAATAGTAACTGCTACAATCACGTAAAAAGTTCTAAGCACAATAGTAAATATACCATTGTTACAGAGGTAATGGAAATACAGCCAAAGATACATTAATGTATTAATTAATATAGCATATTTTAAAGTTTTAAACTAATATTGTGTTTGTGATACTCAATGAATTATTTATTGTTAAATCTTTCATATCCCAAAGAGGTTAATTAAACAATTCTAAATGGCAACAATAACTTTTCATTTTCATTTCTGACAGCAAAACAGACTTTGGAGTTATTAATGCATATAATAAAGTTGCTTTAAGTTGCAAAATCATTATGTTTAATCACTGTTACAATTAAATAAAAAAGAGACAGCTTCAACTATGAGCAGTTTGTAACCCAGAACTTTAAGAGCTATACAAGAAAATGAATGTAAAGGCTATTAAATAAAATGAGGTTAATGAGGGATGGCAGAGGAGAAAACTACTCTCTTCTAAATGCTCAATGAATCATACGTATGTGAGAAAATCAAGAAAATATTTCACACTTTTTTTTCATTTGGACTGACTAAAAGTAAGTTTAGCTCAATGTTTGATGAATATGTGAAATTGTCTGATAAATTTTCTTGGCAGGAATACAGCAATGGTTTGCCAAAGCCTTCTGTGATTTTTTTTTTTTAAATGTCCCAGCCTAGTTTACAGCCTTACACATTTCCTGCTGGTCTTCCAATAAGATACCATCCAGATCCAACCTTACCTATGTACACTTTAACAACAAGTACAAAGGTTGCCCATTAATTATAACACTGAGACAGTTTGGTTGCATGGTCTGCCATATCCCCAGTATTTTCTTGCCATATTTTCCAGAGCAGCCCTCATCTCACATGCTGGACAGGACTGAACCCATAAATACTTACCCTGCAACTCTATTTGCGAACTCAATAATATCATCTTTGGTCCTTGGTCCTCTGTAATTGTATGCTAAGTCACCCTTCAACCTAAATAAATAGAGATGAAACACCTTCAGTGAATACTTTTAATGCTATTTTTTTAGGATAATCAGTAATTGATATCCAGTAACCAGTAAAAGAAGTGCATATGGGATTCAATTGTAAAAGATAAGTATAGTGTAGCAATAGTATTTAAAAACAGCTGTAAAGAGGAATGACTCTTCACCAAGTTTCAGTTGGGTTTTAGCTGATGCAAAAAAAAAAAAAAAACAACTGAAAGAAAAGATTGGTTTAAGTTTCATACAAATTTGCAAAACCTTTTCCTAGAAAAAAAAGAGAAACACTGCAAAGCACACATATTTAATATACAAAGCATAATATTCAACTTACAGTTTAATTGTTGGATAGCCTCGAACTCCAAATTCCGAGGCAATACCTACCAAAGGAAACAAAACATGGGAAAAAATGAAAAATTCAAACATGTGATTTTTCTCTTTGACAAATTCATGTGCTCCAAACTATATTAGTAGCATTTTTGGAAGCAACTATAATATAGTACAAACATTCTAAACGTAAGAAGTAGTCTTTTACTTAGGAACTGATTTGGACAATTAACGTACTGAGTTTTTAATTTCCAATATTTTGTATCAATGCAAATTGATACAAATGCCTAATTTAGCTTTTTTGTTATTTTCTAAAATTATAAATTATATAATATGGAATACTTTAGCAGTAAACTTACTAGAATAAGAAGTTGCATCCATCTTGCCAACCTTTACTGGAGACCCAATGCTTCCCATTTCTTTACCAACTTCATTCCACACTGGCTCCAATTTCTTGCAATGGCCACACCAAGGTGCATAGAACTGTGAACAAACCATAACCAGTGCTCTTTAGATATTTAAGCTACAACCTTGTTATTGCCATGTTTGGGGGAGGGGCAGTAATTAGTATTGAAATCTAAAACAATTGAAAGGCGTTAGATTATCCCACCTTTCTTTATCAGCTATATCATCCACGCTTCTGGAATTTTTATAGAGAATCCCCTCCACTGGAACATAAAAATGTGTAGCTTCCATATTTCAGCTTCAGTATACTAGATAGCATTAACTTAGTGAATCAGAACAAAATATTAAGTTATTTGCAATAATCAATACCCAAATTGAGATGTCTGAGTATCTTTTAAATTAATACTTGGGTCTAACGAATTGCTCTAGCTCATCTTCCAAGAGGTTAAGGAAGAATAAATAATTACAGTACACCCATAGAACAGCTATAAAATAAAGTATTGCTTTTGGGGGGTATGTTTAAGTCTAAAAATTAATATCATACTTGGCCCCTACTGGTTTATTCTTTATGGTTAGCTATGATTCTTCAAGTTCTATAGAATTTTTTAAGAAGGGGAAAGCAGAACTATACACATGGTTCTGATTTAGAAAGATAAAGATTTATTGTTTTTGATAGATACAAAGCTCTGTGCTGCTGTTCCAAGAGATACAACTGGAAAAAAACTAATTTAGAATTTAACATCATATTCTACTATATAAGCCAGTCTGGAATGGCTTGCCTTTAAAGGTAGGCTAGAAGCATTTTCAAAAATTATAAATAATATTTAAGAGTGCAATCATTCCCCAACTTATGATCCTACTGCATAGGATCCTCAGAGTCCTTATATCTTACTCAGCATATCTGCATCACTCAGAATCGATGAATGCTTCTATACCATTATCAGTTTGAGGTTAGCAATAAGGGGAACAATAATATTTTACATATTATCAAACTGAGTTGACAAGATGGAAATTCTCTTTTTTTTCAATGAATTACATTTTGAATTTCTGCACTGTAAGATTTCTAATACACAATAAATCTAAACTGCACACAATAATTCAGTTGATGAGCACACCTAGATGTGAAAATATAGCAAATGCATTCAGAATTGGACCTACAAATAAAGAATGGAAATTACCTTTTAAAATGTTTTCTGTTAGAAGGACCTTAAAATACTTTTTTGAACTGCAGTAGCAAGATACTTGGCCTTAATATGCAAGGCAATACATACACAAAGTAAAGCTGCAAATCTAAACAAGACAATCCATAGATTATCTTAATATAGAAAGCTTATCCACCTGTCAATTAACATTAGCATGTCAGATCTTTCAACAATGACTTCTAAACCACTCTTCCACAGATAACACAATGGTGCTAATCTATATCAGATTCTCTTAAACTATAAAAATCAACTCTTCATAGGAGTAATTGTACTGTATTTTTAATATTAACAAAGCAACAGCAAACCACTTCCATATTTGCCAAAGAAAACTACACAGGCATGTCTATGAGCCACTATGAGTTGAGTTTGATTCAAAGTTTTTATTTTAACTGAATTTTCTGGTTTTGCAAGAAGTTAGGATAATCACAGAAGAACTGTAAAAAAATTAAACCAATTTATATTTAAAAGATTTTAAACAAAATTGTTTTATACTACCATACTCACATCAACAAGCCAAATGTCATCTTTACGGTTCTCTTTAAACCTATAAAAGATGCATAACCAATAAATATTCTTACTAAATTTAGATACTTGAACACAGTTATAGTGTCTCCCATCAGTTTTCCCTTCTCCAGGCTACACATATCCAATTAATCTAGTTGTCATTCCTATTTTTTCCCCCTTCCAGGATCCTTATCGTTCTTATTTATTCTGCTTTAGACACGCACCAGTTTGTTAACATCCTTCCTAAAACATGGTGTCCAGAACTGGATACAATATTCTAGGTGTCACTTGACCAATACAGAAGAGAGGAATGATGACCTGTCTTGAGTATGATGTTCTATTTATGTTGATGCAGCTTGGGATTGTATTTGGGTTTTTTGCAACTGCATCACACTGTTGGCATATGTTCAGCTTGTGATCCCCCAAGATAGGCAGATCTTTTTTACATGTACTGCTGCTCAGTATGGTCTAATCCTATCTCTCTGTTTTGATTTTTCCTACAAAAATGTAGGATTCTGCATTTGTCCTTGAAAAGTTCATTTTGCTGGTGTCTGTCCACTGTTGCGTCTTGTCACGATCCTCCTCTGTTTGCCATTTCCCTCTAATTTTGTGTTCTTTGAAAATCTGATAAAGCAATGTTTGTTATATTGCAGATTCTCATTTTTTTCAGAGCTTTGACTAGCATTTGGAACCCAGGAACTCAGGTATCCCATTTATCTTTAAAAACTTGTCAGTCCAAAATAAAACATGTATAAAATGGCCCTGACGTGTATTCTGAATATCCAACTAGATGACATAATGAATTGCCTGGGCCAACTGCTGTGAATAAGGTCCTGCACACCAGAGCAAGTTACAATAATTGTAAGAAATATTTCTCTTTCCAGAATCCTGGAAATAGTGTATTTTATAGTGTATTTAAACTTTGTGTATTAGGTTTTGAATTTTTGAAAGAAATGTCCCTATCTTGAACTGCCACAAACCCCATTATACAGCAGTTTCCTTAAATGAGCTGAAAGAGAAAGCACTGCATTATTAACAGTATGTCAACATAATTAAAGGCAATGTGCTGCTATTATTCACATGTGGAAAAATTCATTAAATTTTTATTTCAGATGCACAGTGATTATCTGAATTATATTATTTTTGAGATTTTTTTTTGTTTTACGGAACTGCTACTAAATTGATATCTGTCAAATCTCATGTGTTAGAATTTTTAGATTTCTGACTAAAAACTGTGATTCCTGCAAAGTCGGAAACTTCTCATTTAAAACTTTTGATATTCTTTTACAGACCAAGGGGAATGATTCTTTTTTCTTTTGAAGCAAATGACTAAGCTGGAATTGGACTAATTCCATTATATTTGTTTCAGAAAAGCTACAATTACCATAACTTATAACCAAACAGGAAAGAATGGGAATACTTATATATTAAGATATCTAAAGATTATGCAACCACTAGTTCAGGGTTTTAAGTTTTTTGTAGTTAAGAATAGGTAGGTAATATGATCAAACTCTAATTTATCCACTACAGAAAAAGGCATTTTTAAGCAAACCCTTAAACAAAAAGGCATTTTAAGCGGAACCTCTATAGAAAAAAGCAATTCTTAAGTAAACAATGGTGTGGTCTCTCTTCTATATTTGTGATCTACAATGCACTAATATACAAGGGAAAAAAAGGGATGCTTGAAGAATTCTTGTCATTCCATAAAGGTACAGTAAAATAGAAATATCTGAATTCATAATTTGTGGAAATTCTTCATACTTACGATTCATCTAAGTCTTCCACAAACGATGCATCTACAGCAAGTATAAAGGCAGCAAATGCTGGAAGAAAAAGTTGGCAGAAGAAAAAAGTAGAATATAATGTGGCTTATCACACACTAAAGCGACACATGTGCTTTCATTACCTACCCATGCCATCTCTTCCCCCAGATGCTACTGGAACACTTTCTCTCAAGATCACTCACTTCTAACAAATTTCAAAACAGCTTTCTCTTAATTTAGGGTTTTAGGAGAAAGTTGCCCCCATCCCTCTTAGAACAGGCAAGAGGATCCAAGCACCTTCTTCTTTCAGAGCAGTGCCAGAGCTCAATCCCTCCCTCTCCCCCAAACGGTCAGAGAGAGGGACAACCAGCGAAAGCACGCCTAAGAAGTGAGTTAGCCTACCAAGAAATGCGTTCGGGGCAGCGAGCGCTTGCTTGCCGGTGTTTACAACCATGCACGCGGATCCCGTCAGGAACCTGTGATTTGCATTGGGGGGGAGGGTGTTTCTATGCCCAGAACGGAGCCAAACCCCCTGCCCTGCTCCGCCCTCCGCTTCAAGGCTCCTGTACTTCCACGGCAACTCAGTATTATTCAAAGACTCGGCCTCGCGTCTCCTTCCCCCTTCAATCCGCTTCCTGCAGCATCAACCGACGTTCGTGGCCATTTCCTCGTCCCTTGCCTTCGCCGCCTCCTTGCGAAGA